TTTTTTTTTTTGTGGTCAAGTAAAGAAGTTCCATTAGAAAAGTTTAGTAGTAGTACAAGATTAGTTAGGTCTATTGTACTTTGCCCCTTCAACATCATCAATATCTTATTTAATAAAGTGATAAAAACAAAAGGGGAAGACTTAATAGAAACAAAATATTGGTCCTACACATGATTTTATTCTTTTTTGCCCTTTATTTGTTTCTTCTGGCCAAATATTGACCCAATTAATATAATAAATCACTATCTAATGACAGAAAAATATAATTAAAGAAAAATAAAACAATATCCATGGCCCTACCTCACCTCTAAAAAAGAAAATTAGAGGAAGTAAAAAATAGGGGATTTTTATCTTCAAATTTACATAAATCTCACTACTTTAGGAACTAATTACTTCGATACACTTTAGTTGTAATATTACGCTAGATTTTAGTGCCTCTAGATTCATGTATTTCAGATAAATGAGGTCAAAATTGAATGTAATTTGTTCTAGATACGTTATCAAAGTGAATTCATATACATTCGGGATACATAACAAATTACGTTTGTCATCCTTCCATGTATGGGGTATCTCAACTACATGTGAATCACACTTGATACACACTCGATACATGTATCTTGTGTGATTCGCATGTATCTGAAATACATACGAATCTCGCTCACTTCTTTCTATTTTTGTGTATCTAATAATAAAAATACATGTTTTTAAGTGTATCTTCTTTAATATATGAAAATAAACTCTTAATTAATGATAAGATACATAATATTTTAAAAGTATAAATAATAATAGCATATGGGGTAGTTTTTTTCCATAGCATATAGGGTAGAAAAGTATCTTAGTAGTTTTACCTTAATTTTGTAAACTATATCCCCAAAAGTAAAAGTAATTTTTTTTTCCTGTTTCTATTTTAATTTTGCAAGTGTGAAAATCATAGATTCATTATCTCCCCACTTAAAATCTTTTTGGAAAAAAAATCACCATGGTCAATAGTAAATGTAGATATGATTTATATATATAGAATTGTTTTAATTGGTAAAACTAAAACATGACAAAAATAAATATATAAATTGAAGTCAACTTAAGAAGCTTAATAAAAGAGATTAGTATTGAAAAAAGAAAATCTCAACAACTTTCAAACTATTTGTTTGGTTTAAGTAATATGTTCACACCTTTTCCTAGAAAAAAATGAGTCAACTATTTCTAATTGTCAAAAAAATATAACATTTGCTTTTTTCCTTGCGTTGATTTTATAAATCAAATATTTGCAGCTTGACTAAAACTATTGCTTTATTTGCTTCTCATTGAATTTTTTTTTAAAGAAAAAAATTGTTCTATTTGTTATTTAGTTATTACTAAAGTTTTTATAAGTCATTTAGTCAAATGACTACGGATAGTACCAATTAAGTCAACAAAATGCTACACTATAATTATTAATTATAAAGTTCCTCGAATTATTAAGGTTTTTTTTTTGGTATTTGCTATTGCACAAACAATACTCCACTAACTTTTCCTAAATATGAAAATGGTTATTAGTAATGGAATTTAAAGGGAAAACTAATAAAGTAGTTTTACTTTTTCTTCATATTATTATTATTTGTTTGAGGGGTAGGGAAAGGGACATGTTGACCAAATATGTAGATAGTGTAAAAAGGCGTGCGATAGATGATAAGTATTTCATTCTTAATATAAAGTTTTAGGTTCAAATTCTGATATAAAATTGCTTTTGATAAAGATTATTTATCGCTAAAATGAATTTGTTTTACAAGATCTCAAAGCAGATAATGACAATTGAGGGAACAAGAGTGAAAAAAATTACTCCCTCTGTTTTGAAAAAAATAATCTTATTTAATTTAACACTAAATATAGAAGAAGTTTCAATCTTCTGATCTTAAATTAAAGTTACATAAAATGTACTAAAATGTTCTTTAATTTTGTGATTTTAAACGTGTTATGTAAAAAACTAAATTTAAAATGTTATAAAAGAGTTATCCTTTTTAAAATAGACAAAAAAAAACAGATCATTATTTTTAAAATAGAAGTAATCATTCCTTTTAAAACGGAAGAAGTAGGTAGATGAAGAAAATGATTAATATTTGGCTATGCTTGGTCATGGGACAAATGACCCAATGAAGTTGTTTGGGCCACAAAAAAAAGTGTGAATTCAATGCAAGAAAGAATCAATATTCTAGCTTAGTTGATGAAAGGTACTTCAAACAAGAGGGCAATTTGCTAAGATCTTCCTTAAGACAACATTTAAGAGATCTCATTGGGGCCAAATATGTGAATGTAAGATTTTTCTATTCTACCATCATTTCGTAAAGAAAAGAAATTCCACAATATTGACAACATGAGAGCAATCAATCTCTTTATAGTAAATAAACAAATGGAAAAAGGATAAATATACCTTGAGCTATCGTAAATGGTATGCAGATTGATATCTTCCGTCATATTTTTGGGACACTGATACTCCTGTCGTCCAAATATTAAAGCATATACATGTTTTTCACTCTAACGGGAGACTAAATAGGGATACACGATATAATCTTATCTATTGATTCAATATTTAATAAATGTTCCGTAAGTGGATAAGATTATAACACGTATATGTCCGTTAGTATAAAGGGTATATATAATCTAGTTTTTGGACGGCAGAGTCATCAATGTTTCAAAAGTATGACGGAAGATATATGCATAGCATTTACGATATCTTAAGGGTTTATTTGTTCTTTTTAAAAGTAAAGAAAAAATATAGTTTATCTACTTCTTTTAAAATAAAATAAAATAAAATAGTTTACTTCATTTAAATGGGGAAATAAAAGTATTTGGAATTTTTTTGTGATTTAAATTGACTCAAATTTACAATGGAATAAGTTAAGCGGCATCTTGACAATCACTTGACTTGTCTAAAATTTTGAAAATAAAGCATGTATTTAAAAGAGAAAGACTTGTATATTTCTTTTTGACAGAATCTTTTTTAATATTAGATACAAAATAGGATCCAATATTACAAACACAGAGGTATCGTTTTGTTTGTTATGTATAGTAATTTTCTTACAAAATCAATTTAATTAAAGGGCAGTAAATAAATTAGTCACATATAAGAAAATAACGTGTCACAATGAATGAGCAAATTAGGTTGAGGTTTGTAAAAAATAAATTTAATTAATACTTGATTGTACATAAATTAGGCCGAAATGGACTAGAAGTCTAATCATAACTCTAACTTTGCACAAAAGTTATTTGGGCTTAAACGTTAAATTAAAAGTATAAACTATATTATTAAGATTTTTTTGGAATTCACGGATACTTTACTTCTTCATTCGATATAGAGTAAATGATACATAAGTTATGTATCAGATACATGACTATAATTCGGATTCATATTTATTTAGATTTGGAAGAATAAGAGTTTATATCAACAATAACATTTGTAACAATACATTGTATACAAACAAAATTCTGATGTACTGTATTTTGATTAAAGCTAGGATTTTTAATTCCTTAATTATATGTCAAAAGACTCAAAACATCCAAAGAATTTTATACCTAAATTTTGAGACTATTTAAAGGTGATTTTGATACTGTTAATCTGATTTTATTGAACAGAGTGTTTGATGGGCTCAAAGTGAGTCCATAAACAAACAAAAAAGCCTATTTACATCTAATCCGACCTACTAATTGATCAAAAACATGACTAATAATTCAAGGACAACTTTCACATATAGCAAACAAAAAATTCATATTTGTATACTATAGCAAAGTTTGCATAATTACGCTCCATAGCAAACATAAAACTGTATAATTCGCTATACATATATAATTGTATAATTCCCTGGCCTATTTTGCTGCAATTGTATAATTCGCTATCATATTTCACTGCAATTGTATAATGCATAATTGTATATTTCGCTGTAATATTTGTATAAAATTTGCTTTGCATACAATTGAATCGAAGTAAAATGTATGTATATTGCATAATTATAAGTGTATAGGAAAAAGATATATTTTTTCTCTCGCTTTATACAAAAACAGAAACACAATTTATACACTTCTATTCTATTAAGCAAGAGAAAATTGTATTTCGCTGCAATTGTATAATTCGTTCGCCTTTTTCGCTGCAATATTTGTATAAAATTTGCATTTGTCTACAATTAAATTGAAGTAAAATATTTGTAAATTGTATAATTAAGTGTATAGCACGAAGAAATATGTTTTTGTATGTGTATATAAAATTTTCTCTCGCTTATACAAAACAGAAACACAATTTATACACTTTTGTGTATAAAGAGAGAGAGGCGACTGACAAACTTTGGCTAACGTTTGCTATAGTGCACAATTAAATCAAATCATAGCTACTCCATTTATTTTAGGTTATTAGTTTGCTATTATATACAATTATCCTATAATTCAATTCACTTTAAATTGTTTCCGAAAAAAAAATATTTTCTAGAAAAACATCTTTCATCGTACCAAACACCCCCCTTGATCTCCCTTTCCCATGCTAGAGTTTTCCAAGTATAATAGGACCTAAAACTGACATTTTCACATTATCTTTTGCCTCCTGAACACAGCATAAATGAATCATAATAGAAGAGCATTAAGCTGATCTCTACTCTGTTGAATTGAGACAATCACTTAAATATACCTAACTTATTTTAATTATAGAAATGTAAATACAGATTAAAAAATAAAGTGTGACACCTAAATTTGAAAGGAAATAGTAGCTTCAAGCACTTTCAATATTTGAAAATGCAAGCAAACCTTTCTAGATATGGTACAATATTTTTGGATAAATTGGGAATATTTCTTTTCACATTTATATTAGGAAAAAACTCCCTTTTGCCATGCGTGATTTTTTTAATTTAATACCATCAGTTCCGCAACTATAACCTACGCGTATGTTATCAAGGATAAATTATTAATTTTAAAAGGAAAACGGGTAATTTTAGTAAATTTTGGGAAAAAACATCCAATTGAGGGGTATAAATGGCCAGATAGTATAACGAAAGGTAAAGCTAACTATTAGACGAAAGTTGGGAGTATTTTTTTATCCTTCTCCCTTTATTTTAAGGGAATAATCAAACAGAATCTGAATAATCAGAAACAGTTAATCTGATTATGAAAATGCAACACAATTAGGTGCAATTTCTTTTACCCAAAATTACATTTACCAGAATTAGAATAATTTTCAAAGTCTAGGAGAACTTTACCACTTCCAGTGAAAGTTGAGAGGCTTGTACATTCATTCACCTCACGAGCGGTATGAGCAGATACTCTGCATAAAAAAGCTGCCAGCAACAATAATGAAAAAGGTTAAATTGATCGAAACGAGTCCTAAAAAGATGAACTGTATATGCAAGGTTCAAGCTAATTAAAGAAAGAAACTAAGGTACATTTTGTACAAAACTCTAGCAACAGATTCAAGCTTAACCTTGTAGTGATATTGCCAAAGTATTCTTCACTATTGTAGTGTAAAATAGGCATTATTGATGCTACAGTATGATTACTTTTGAGACTATAAATTGCGAGTTTCACCCCTTCAGCTTCTATACATATTACTCCACTTTTGTGTAAGCTTATAAAAACAATGTTTCCTGTGGGGGAAAATCTAAGTCGAGTCTTGGAGAGAAAGTTATTACCTAGGTTTGTTCTTGAGATTGAGAACTAAGGCTGGTCAATATCTAATGCTGTAAAATTCTCTCGACATCATGTTGCTCTATGGTTTTAATCTACTTGCCCTAACGTTAGTCCAAAGAACTAAGTGCGGGTATTATGTCAGAAAAAAGCCGTAAAGACACTTGTTATTAAACCCAAATCATTTTCGATTTACAGCATGAGATAATATAGAGTTACAATTTAAGATAACATATTTAATAAGAACATAGTTATTATATCAAAAATGAAAAACAAATATGAAGTTCAACCAAAGGATCTTCAGATAAAGGTCATGCTTGAACACCAAGCTAAGAGACTAAATAAGTGCAATCAAAATTCGTACAAGTCAGATGATATAAGCATGTACCAATAAGAGATTAGCATTTTGTACCTCCATTATACTCTAGCAAGTGCAGGAAAATCAAAGGTACAGTAGTTTTAAGGCCAAAGATATGTTTATGCGCAACAATAAAGCTAGAAAAGATTTTATTTTCTTGCTTTACGTACTGAATACGCCACTGCTTTGAGCTAACGTGCAGTCATTTTCCATGACTTCGTTACATTTTCCAGAATGCTGGGAGAAATCTTACCTTCCATATGAACATGTAAAAGGATGTTATTGCTGCTTTACTACTGAAGTCGACTGATTTGGCACGAGTCCAAAGTAAAAGAGCCAAAGCAGAATGACCCAGAATCTGACAAATGCAAAAATAAGTACACATGTCAGTGCAAGTCATTTGGAAGCTCAAATGTTGAACAAAGACTAACCTATTACACAATGACCATACACTGGTTACTCACCGTTGCGTCAGTAACAATATCTTGGAAACATTTGGTACTTAATTTTTCCTATTTTGATTAACTTATTGTTGGTAAAAACATGTAGCCTGATATCTCAGACAAAAACAGGATAAATGAACTGATACCCCAATCCACTGCCTCATTGAGACGACAACTTCTGGAAGATGTTAAGACAAAGAGCTAAGAACAAACAAGAAAGTAGGATACAAAGTAGAATCAAGATACGATAAAAGCCTGTAGGAAGAAATGGAAGGAAAAGCAACGACAAAGAAAAGACTAGGTTTACCTTTTTAAATTCTTCTTGATAATAAAGTCCAGACTGCTTCTTTAATTACAACACACTACTCCAGCAAGATGGAGCACAAAAAGGGGAGATGCCCACTACAGGATATTGGTGAAGGCGATGGTGGTGATGATTTATAACAGAAGGGAAGAAATTTGGCTATATTTTCTGTTGGGAGGATCTGGCAATGAAGTCATTATTTGCCACGCCTGTCCCATGTTTCTTTTTTCAAGTAAAAATGAGGTAACAGACTTCAGCCACTACAGATATATGATTTATGTGCTAAGGATGAGAGATATTTTCCTTTTCAATCAAATTAATATTACATTCTTCTCTTGCTTTGTCTGAAAGTTAAGAACCCCAAAGCTGAAAATCCTTGATTATGAAATAACAATGCAGATAGATGAGCAAGCAGACTTCTAATTTGGCTGTGTTTACACTTCTCTATGGAGTCGTGTTATATAAGCCTCAAAAGTTAGAAGAAAAACTCTCATGCAGGGCAGAGATCCAACAACAATAACATACCTAGTGTAATCCCCCCAAACTTGGAGTCTGAGGAGGATAAAGTAACAGCTAGTCTTTAGCAATCTATTTACTTGCTCTCGTTTTTTTATAATTAACAATCTCTCTATGAAACAATTATAAGAGTTCAAGGTGGATTACAGTAAAATATTTGCTCCAGGTGTTGGAAGATGCTGCACCCACTACGATGGCAACAAGATAAGCCATTTCAAGTAGACCAATACAAATCCAAAAGACCTGCCAAAAGTGAACAAGTATAGTCAAGTATATGAGACAATAAAATAGAGTGAACAAATGCCTCAAGTCATTAGCCAGACTTTGATACTTACCCTCTCTTGACCCAAGCGGACAGTAAAAGATTGAATTCCAAAGATCTTGTCACCAACAATATCAGGTATGTCCTACAGTAGCATGTGAAAATTAGATGACTTTCCGTAGCTTGGATTTATTGCAAATATCTAAAAATGATCACATTTCAGGCTATGAGGCTAGAGAGAAATTTAGTTTTCTAAACTTTTTAGTGAATTTTACATTGTTGCCTTACTTTGACTTCTAGCTACATCAAATATTCAGTTTTCATTTCTGATCTCTTTTGAGCAACATGACATTAGTCTAGCGTCATGAGAGAAATTAGTTCTTTAGTGACATTAGTCCAGCATCCAGGTTAATCCATATGCTTCTGGTAATATCACTCTCCTATCCTTTAACTTTTTTTATAGTCAATACTTAATACTCATTAGCTACTAATTACAAAAATTTTACTTTAACTGTTTTTAAGAAGGCCAACAAAATCCATTCTTACATTAGTCAAAGGTCATTGTTGTTAAAATTGATAAGAAAATTCACCAAGGAAAGAAATTTGGTAAAACCCGCTAAGACAAGATTTGCAACGGCCTTCTTAACTTTGTCAGTTTATGTACATACAAAGGAAAAACTTGAGAATTTCAGTCCTCTCAACTGAATGGACTTCAAGTAAATTTGCAAAAGAAACTTTGGGGAAAGAAGTTGTCAACCTTATTATTTCTGCCCACATTTGGAATGATGTTGTTCGAGCACTTACAGTTTGTTGCCCTTTGACAAAAGTGCTTTGTTTGGTGGATAGGGAGAAAAACCACCAATGGGCTATATTTATGAAGCAATGGATAGAGCCAAGGAAACTAATCCACGGGGTTTTTGTGGAGTTGAGAAGCAAAATGAGAAAGTGTTTGAAATTATTGATGCAAGGTGGTTAGACCAACTTCATCGGCCTTTGCATGCTGCAAGCCATGTTTTGAACCCAAGAATGTTTTATAAAGCTCAAGAGGAGGGAACTTTACTAAAGACTCTGTGGGATGAGTATTATGCATGTAATTGAGAAGGTGATCCCCGATACAGCAATACAAGATTTACTAGTCGCTAAGCTTCCTAGGTACAAAATGGCGGATGGACTATTTGGTTGTGGTCCGGCTAAAAGAGCTAAAGACATAAGGTCATCGGGTAAGTGAGTTGATTTAGCTCTTACTTCAATTATTTGACTTATTTATGCTCATTAACCTTTAAATTCATTTTATTATAGTTGAATGGTGGTCACTATTTGGTAGTAAAACACCAAATTGCAAAAGTTTGCCATGAAAGTATTAAGTGCCCGTTTGGATTGACTTATTTTAGGTGCTTCTAAGCCAAAATAGCTTTTAAGCACTTATTTTAAAGCCAAAATAACAAAAATAAGCCAAAAGTCATAAGTTAGAAATCCTAACTTATGGCTTTTGGCTTATAGTCATAAGCAAAAAGTCAATCCAAACAGGCCCTAAGCCTAACTTGTAGCTCATCCGGATGTGAGCGAAATTGGAGTGTGTTTGAACACGCAAGTAAAAAGATATATCCTAATTTCCATATTATATTATTATCAGTATCTATTAGACATTAGTTAATATCTATAAATTATGTGCAGATTCATTCCAAAAATAGGAATAGGCTTGCACTATCGCGTCTCAATGATCTACTATACATTAAGTACAATAGAACATTGAAACGTCATTATGACTTATGATGCTTGTGAACTCATTAATCCAGTTTGCTTGGATTCAAAATTTCAAATGAATGGTTAGTTGGATGCCCCGAAGATCAAGAAGATGAACTAATATATGAGGATGATGATCTTACTTGGGGTAGTGTTGCTATGGCAATTGGAATTGCTGAGAGTATCTATCATCTTACGTAACTTTCTTCAAGATCAAGAGCACTTGACAAAGACAAAGGAGTAGAAACTACACATACAAGTTCAACTTCAAGTAGGGCTCGGACACTAATTGATGAAGAATATGAGGAAGAAGATGAGGAGCAATATAATGATGTAGAGGATGTTGATCTTCAAGAGTTGGATAGTTTTGATCTTCAACGCCAATGTCACAGACAGGATGTTGTGGAAGCACAGCAAAGAAGGCCTTTTCTCAGTCAACAGTGCTTACAGAAGAGGTCTCCAAGTGATGGCAGAGAGGCCAAAACACCTCTGGAACTATCTTTGGAAGGGGGATACTCCTATAAAGTGAAATGCTTCACTTGGCTAGTGATAAAGAGAGCTTGTTTAACACAAGAAGTACTTCAGAAGAAGGGTAGACAGCTGGTCCTAGGTGTTTTTTATGCAATTTGACAAGTGAAACCAACAGTCACCTCTTCTTGCACTGTAATTACACTGCTCAAATCTGGAATTTGTTCCTTAGCATCTCAAATTAGAATTGGACTATGCCAGAACGTACATCAAACGTGTTGAAGAGGTGGGTAAGGAGAGGAGGTACCAAGAGCCAGAAGAGATGGTGGAGGTTAATACTATCATGTATATGGTGGTCAGTTTGGAAGGAAAGGAACAGTAGATGTTTCGACAATAGATCCAATTCCATATACAAGGTCAAATGGAATTGTATAGTATATCTACTTTTTTGGTGTAAACAGTTGTGTATAGTAGATACAGACCAGATTGTAGATTTGATAGGAAGTTTGCAATTGACACTTTTTGGTGGTGGCCAGCATGCCCTTAATGCTGAAGAATACAACATTACGAGTTTCAAAAATAAAGAGTTGGATAGTTTTGAAGAAGAATAAACTTTTAGTTGTAGAGTTCTAGTATTGTCTTCTGATTATTGGGTCTTTTAAGTTCTAGACTTTTAGTATCTACTATTAGTTTTTGAATTGAATTATTTGCTAATATATGTTATTGCTATTGAGATTTTGGATATTTATCTATGCGATTAAATATTTTTAATTTTTGGTATTAATTGGCGCCTCATTTCAAAAGGCAAGTGCCTCGCCTCACCGCGAGGGGAGGCGAGCCAGGCCATTGTCGCCTTTCGCCATCCAAAACACTGGTATCTCTTATTGGCACTAGCAGTTTGGTGGGAAAAGTAGGTGTTCCTGTCCCCCTCTTTGAGCCATAAGCCTCTAGATCTCTGTCTCCAGGACACCTCTTCATTCCTAAGGCTTTTGGCTTTTTTCATATTCCATGAAGGCAGTAGCTTTCTTTACAATTTCCTCTTCTATCAATTCTCTGCTTTCTAATATGGAATCTAAATCAGCAAATTGACTCAACAATTTAGATTTTTGAAGCCTCAAGTTCCCCTGCTCCATTCTTTAAGTTTACCGTTGAGAGCTTTAAGTTTACAAGCCCGAATGTAATTAGGCTTCCAGAGAACGCAAAGGAAGACCACCAACTTTTGATTCTATCAAAAAAAACCTTCAGAGTTTAACCACCAATTCTCAAATTTAAAATATGATTTAGTATGTTGACAGTGACCATATAGAAAAGCTACTGGAACATGGTCTAAAATCAATCTCCACAAAGGAAGCCCGACATCCTATGCGAACTCGATTGACAAAGCATATGACCATGTCAACTTGAGGTCATCCACAGAAAACTGAGACAGAAGTGGATCAATTGGGTGAAATTCTGTATCTCAACTGTGAAATTTTCCATCCTACTAATACGACACCAGTAAGGTTTTTTCAGTTTACAATAGAGGGATAAGACGAGGGGATCCCCTATCCCTTTCTTATTTGTTATAGCAATGGAGGATCTTAACAACATGCTTAAAATTGCTAAGACAAATGAAAAGAGTCAGGATTTTGAAGTTGCCAGAAACACAATGAATATAATCTAGAGATCACTCATCTAGAATATGTTGATGATACTCTAATTTTACATGATGCGGATGAGGAATAATGGTTGTTTTAGAGATTAATTGTGATTTCTCTGAAGGCATCCCTGGGCTTCACATTAACTGGAATATAAGAGCCACCTTATTCCAATTAATTTGGTACCTATATGTTGTATCTGACACAGATTTTGGGTGGTGTAGTGGGTACCTTGCCTTCAGTGTATCTTGGCATGCCTTTGGGAGCAAAATCCAAATCCAAAGAAATCTGGAATCCAATTTTGGAGAAGTGTGAGAAGAAGTTGTCCAGATGGAGATCACAATATTTATTATTGGGAGGCAGACTAATGTTGACTAACTTTATTTTAGATGCTTAACCAATATATATGATATCCCTATTCCATATCCCTCAGGCTGCTACTCATAGTAGGGATAAATTCAGAAGATCTTTTACATTGACAAGGTAATAAGAAGGAAGAGGTTTCCATTTAGCAAATGGAAAAATCTTATTAGAAGGAAAAGTCAAGATGGGTTAGGTATCGAAAACCTCAAGAATCTGAGTAAAGCTCAAAAGGTGAAAAATGGCTATGGAGGTACTGTCAGGATTCCTAAATCTCTAGATAATTGGGTCTCTAAAGAAGTTACTACCCTTTATGGTGTAAGTCTCTAGAGATCCATTAGGTCCTACTAACTTTTCTTAAAAGTGAGTCTGATGTCAAGGTTTTCAATAGCAACAGAACTCTTTTTTGGACAGACAATTGGATGGGTTTTACTAGGTTACAAGCTCCATTCCCTGATATTTTGCTCTGGCCCAACATCAATACAAAACGATTTCTGAGATGTGGAACCATCAGAGATTGGACTTGATACTCGGAAGACCTTTGAATGACTGGGAGATTCCAAGGTTGACTGAGTTATACAAGTTTTTGGACTGTTTATGGTGCAAGGGACATAGCAAATGTCAATACAAGGTAAGGTGTGGGTACAAGATTTTAGATCAAGTTGAGCCAGTTATTACCAACTGTCCATGGAAGCAAATTTGGAAGATTACCCTCTTAAAGTAGCATGTTTCACTTGGCTCTTGGCCAATGAGTCTGTCCTTGCTCATGAAAATCTGGAATGAGGGGGATATCCTATGTTCAAGATGTTCTTTGTGTGGTAATAATGCTGAGACAGTTAATCACCTGTTTCTGCACTGTCTAATCACTGATCAACAGTGGAAGATTACTATCAATCTCAGAGGCATCTCATGGACAATGTCTAGTAAGATTGTCAACATTCCTTTCAGCTGGGAGGAAGCTGGAGTTGGTGCAAGAAGCAGAGATAGATGGAGGATAATCCTAGCATGTATTTGGTGGACAATGTGCAGAGAAAGAAATGTCAAATGTTTTGAAGATAGGAGGTGCAATGTACAGTAATTCAAGCTTAACTGTATTTTTTTCTGTTTGTGGTGTACAAAGGCTTTCTGATGATACTGAAACAGTCCTTAGATTTTTTTTTATTTATTTTTTTTGAAACTGGTAAGGTTGAATCTTCAGCATTAAAGATATGCTGGCTACCTCCAAAAAGGAATAATTACAGATTTCCTATCAAATCTATAATCTGGTCTATATCATCTATACAAAGCTGTTTAAACCAAAAAATTAGAGATACTATACAATTCCATTTAACTTAGTGGATGGAATTGGATCTATCTTCAAAACATCTTCCATTTCTTTCTTTCCAGACTGACCACCATACACATGATGGTATTAGCTTCCACCATCTCTTTTGACTCTTACTGCCTCCCCTCCTAATCCAACAGTCTAGAATTTATTTTCTTATACTCTTCTGTAAATATGATTTTTCCAGTACTAAGGTAGTACTGAATTTAATACAAACTGTTACCAGATTAAAAAAAAAGATTAGTGGAAAGAGTTCAACCACTAACCCTTGCATCACATTTTGTGATGCAGAATGTCTCATTGCTGAAGTCTGTATCTTAATAGTACATTCAATTAAATTGCTTATTTGTGTCAAGATATCTTCATGCTTCCAAAATAAATCTGTTTACATGGTCCGTGCTACATCGTTGGATGAACACTACCTAGAGACTAGATAACAGAGAAGCGAATTCTCCCATTATTATTTTTATGTGAAACCAAAGTAATGAACCGGACACATTTACTTCTTCTAAGCAAAGAACACCTAGACCTCCATTGCGATAATTTCTTCTTATGGTTTACAAAATAAGTGTCTTTCTTCATAAAGATTAAAACAAAAATGATCTTTTATGTAATCAGGTTTAGAGAACAAATTTACCTTGAATAATGCTATAACAACTGAGAAAAAACTCATAAATGCTGTTGCAAATATTAAAGGTCTTGAAAGGACAGCTGCTCTTTTATATACATAAGTCTGAAAAGTGAAATACTTATGTCAGGAAATGAGAGGAGTACCAGACATAAAGGTGATTCAGGTAGTCTACAACTTTACACATACTTGATCTCATTTTTAGTCAATAGGAATATATATTTACAACAAACTGACAAACAAATATGTATTTAAATACGATGATTACGGAGAATGCACAAGGAAATAGATATGAGTTTTCCAGATGACTCCCCCCCCCCCTTTTCCAATAAATGAAGTCTAAACATCACATAACAGAGTAGAAGATTTTTGGTCCTTATCAAATCATACTTGTTCTGACATTTGAAATCAGGTCTTCATGTAGAACAGTAAATACTTTAATCTATACATTCTCTGTGGGCAAAACAAAAAGATAAGCATAAATTGTAGAAATAGCAATTAACACAGACCTGAATATGCAAATAAAAAGCTATCTGAACTATCACCGCTCGTACAGCAAAGATGCACATTGCAGCAACCACAGCAAATCTCTTCCATCTCAAAAGTGGTAGCTGAAAATGTAGAAGCATTTTGCGAACACCAATTAGAAACCTTTCCTGTAATATCACACACATTTTACTGATCTTACACCCAGGAATGGAAGTGAAATTATTCAAGTTAAGGAAACTCTCTGGAGAGCATCTAGTTCGCCAGCCTCTCCCAACCGTCATTTCTGACCTTCCACATTTATGCCTACTACTTACTATCATGCATTTCTGAGAGCAATTATAGTTACATGGAAAATGATGAAATTTCACTGGAACGCAATTAAAATTGCAGTAGTCTGAGTCAGCTGTCAGCCAGACCACATTATTATTCATGGCAGTATTTGTTCTTCTTTATTATTGCGTCCTTATTATAAAATTGTGATAAAGCCAAAACTAATGAGACAAGCAACAAAAAACACAAATCTGATCTGATTGTGCAAATCAAAACTAAGAGGGAGACACTTGGATTTGCAGGAGGATCTCTAACACTTTTGAAGGTAAAATGGTGGTAGAACCATAGAAGAATCTAGAATAATCCTCTATTAAATTGTTGCATGAGAAATCAAGCTATCACATTTACTCCCTTCATCCAAAAATATATAGCAGTTCCAATTTTGTTAAATATTGGAACATTCTTGTTTCTAGATAGGAGTCTCTCTCTCTATAACCCATCTAAAGCGAACATCTGCTGAAGAATCATTAACAGTTAGACTTTATCAGTTATACCAGTCAAAATTTGAGGATCAAATTACTACTACCCAATGAAACTTCAAGGGTAATTAGATTGACACTTCAAAATTGTAGAAGTAAGATAAGTCAACCACAAAACTAAGCGAAAACTCAAGAGACTAAGAACAAGTAGCAAACTGATTTTGCCTTAACGCCAGAACCCCAGGTTTACCTCTCATAGGAACAAAAACTCTTGGAACCATTAGAAGCTAATCAATTCGAAGGAGAGAACCATTAATCGTCAGTTCGGTGGATCAATAAGATTATAAGTGAATTATCATAGGAAGACTTATGAAACAGAACCATGGAGTAATATGGTGTTAAGGGAACTCAGTTCCTGCATATTAAGTATAAAACTATAAACTAATGCAATCATCTGTTTTTGTTACTCGATTGCAGGAATTCGCAATGAATTTGAGGATTGAAGCACTGTTTCAGGATTTCCCGAGAAAAAAGTTAGTAATGAAGAAAAACAGGAAGAGAGAGTTTAGAAAGAGAGATAGAAATCTGTATATTCAACATGATGAATGTAACTGATGATTACATTGTCTATTTATAAAGACTTGACTGACTTATTCCATCTAACAAATTCAGTTATAACTAACATCTAACTAACTACCACTACACTGATTATTGTAGCTTAACAGTGTTTAACTAACTTAGTCAACTAATTTTTGAATTCCCAAATTACTGTAACAGTTTTCAACCAGATGTCAACCATGATCAGAGGCATAATAAATCTTCTGCCACAGTGCAAACGAACATTCGACATCAGCATGGGATATTCTAGTGCCTTTTATCTGACACAAAATGACAGAATTTTTTATAATTACGATTGCATGTTTTTTCTGTTCTTAACTTCACCGGAGAAAAGAGAAGAAACACTGCAACACTATTTCCAATTTCCATTTCCTTTTATATAACAAAAAGAATTTGTGATGTCAAGTTACCCTGTAAAGAACAGCGGAGTTTATTCTATTTTAAAAGAATAAATAAATTCTTAATCTTGATAACTAACAATTAGTGGCAAAAATGAAATCAACTCACATTTATTGAATAGGCAGTTCCCAGTACAAAACTGATGAAAAGCGCCCAAAATAAAGGCCAGGAACCAACGATCCATCCAAGCCAAAAACTCTGAAAGGAGAAGAGTTATATCTGTAGTCATGAAATGAGCACGTGAATATCTATGGATGAAATTTTAATCCTTTTGAAAGTGGAAATTGGAAGTTCACATGCTATTTCATGATTCCTTTGATTTATATACAATGAATGTAAAGCAGTAACAGAAGTACAGAACATCAATCACTGAAGAATAACCACCCAAGAATTGAGCAACCAATATTTTGGCCTCTGTGACTAAGGATGATGCCATGCCTTCTAGTGCAGACTGTGGATACTTGAATGAGCTTCAATCTTTTTCATATTTAGAACCCTTTTACCTTTTAGACTCACAAACTATATCATTAGGTGTCAGAAAAAGACAAACACAAGATACGAATAGCAACCCTAATTTTTTGGGTGGATAACCGAGAAATCTCCGAGGGGCGAGAGCAATAGCAACCCCTAGTTCTCCAAGTTTAAAACTGCTAATAAAGGGTGGAAAACAAGGTATGTCAACAAAATACTCTGCATCTTACCTTCTCAGGAGTCGGGACTATGGAGGATGCTGCTTTTAAGTAATCTAAACAGTAAAGCACATAAGCATATGCTCTCCCCAGCAGCTAAAAGTATAACCAACTGAACAAAACCTGAAGCTTACATGCCCAAAACAAACTTTTGAGCATTATGTCAGGCAGGATATTTAAAATGAGACTCTGCTTTAAAGAAAATCATGTACCATGACCCCAACAAGTCTGAGGGACAAAAGGGCTAACAATATTCACCAACCCACAACATCCTCTCTACCTTCTAACTTTTCTTCTAACTCAATGAAGATTAGGCTGGGGAATCTTGAAGATAAATGTTTACCACGTATATGAACAACTGCAATATAAGAGATGGAATGCATTCACAGCTTGAGACGAAGATTTTAGTGCTTAAAGGGAAGGGTTTTATATTACCAAAATGGCAAAAGACGACACAACAATCACTCCAGTTTGTACAGAGTATTCCCCTGATGCCAATGGAAGATATGGCTTGTTTACCTGAAAAGAAACATCTCAATACTTCAGATGCCAAAGTAGAAAAAACTGCTGAAAAGTATTTTATCAACTAAGAAAAACTAAATATACTCCCAAGAACTTTTCCTCTGAAAGAAGAACCCTAATTGCTATAGCCCCACTCCCCAGACAGATCAGGAAAGATTTTGTAGTACATCAGGATTACAATGAATTGGTCAATTCCCTAATGGTTAAGGGAAAAATGCTGTAAAGCTTTTATCAGATAGTTTATACCAACTTAGTTTCGATTCATGATGAATATAGTAGGAGAAAAAATTTTGAGATGCAGGTGATAGAGGGGTAGACCTTAGTCGTTTTCCCACATGAGTTACCTCACCACCCAAAGTGATCTTAAATCTGCAACCTAGGGATTAGAGGCTGGTGGGGAACAACAAAAGAGGATTAGCTTACCGTGGGTGCAAGAAGCAAAGAATCAAAAGACTAAAACTAGCTCCCATCCACCCCATCAGATGTCAATGAAACATGATACTATTTCAGCTTCAGTTGCGTAAAATTATAGACTTAGTGTATATGTTATGTGTACTGATTGACAATCCAGATACTCAAGTATCTTCATAAACATTGAGTAAAAGAGCTGTACTTTGAGAGTTCTAAAAGCTTCTAATGTGTCCCCGAGTTCCCAAAGGCAAATCCAGGATTTACAATTACTATAAACATGTACTTGCACATACGCCCCCCCCCCCTCTCAAACACACAAGAGTCACCCACCTATCCCGACCAGAAGACATTCAGCGGAACCGTACCCCACCCATGTCTGCTCGCTCTCTAGCCCCAAAGATAAAACGACGGAACAAAACATGAAAGATGAGTCCTCGACAAGGCCTTCACACAGATAAAGTGAAGCATGCATAGTTCTGCATTCAGAAATCAGATCCATGTTAAGTAAATAGAAAAATACCTTGTCTATTTCGATGTCAGACAACTGGTTTAAACCAACTATGTAAATGTTCATGAATAGGGCAGCAACAATGGCCTGCAAAAATATAGTGATAATCAAAAATCTTGTCGTCGCAGATCACATCTTAAGTTGAATCTAAGAATGTTCTTTACCCACCTCTAACACCCCAGTGAAAAATAATGGAGAAAAATCAGAGAACTTCTCAACTGCAAGGAGAGAAACTGAAATTATGCTCAATGCCTGCTCAAAGAAAAGTAATGTAAGTTTACTGTTCTTGTACTTCCAATCTATCAAAATTCAAAAATAAATATATAATGTATACATGCATACAACAACAAAAACATACACTGTGCATCACACAAAGTGGGGTCTGGAAAGAGTAGAGCATAGTCGCATACACAGGCCTTACCATTACCTCTTTGAGGTAGAGAGGCTGTTTCCACAAGACCCTTGGCTCAAGCAAATCAAAGCAGTAATTAAATGGGAAAAAAATGATGGTGGGGAGAAACATGACAAGTAATATCAAAGCGGTGTGGACTGTGGAGCATATATGCAAGGAAACCATAAACAACAACAAGAAGGTGCAATCACCTAAACAGAGTAAACCACAGATGATATCATATACCAAAAGTCAAAGACTAGATGAATAGGCTAATACTACAGCCGACACGGTGCTCTATACTATTATCAAACCAAATACATGAATAGGCTACTAATAGGACAACTCAGAACTACCTACTAACCTTCTACCCTTATACATGATCTCCATACCCTCCTATCTAAGGTCATGTTCTCTGTAAGCTGAAAATGTTGTTGTGTACTAACACATGAAATTTCTGAGCTTTATCCATCAAGCTGATTCTACGAAATTAACATCTTTTAGCACCCTCTCGATCAAAAAACCTATTACTCTAGCTATATCTAATTAAATTGAAAGCAGATGCACTAATAATATACTCATTTCTTGGTAAGGCATTACAAGCTACACAAACTAAAATCTGACAAGAATTATGATGACATAAATAAACACAAATGAATGGTGGGTCAGAACCAAATCCTATGGCAACTCATATAACATGGAAACAAATAAGCCATAGGCATGAAGCCAATTCATTTGGGACCCTGCAGATCTTATGTTGCTCAATGTAGGAGTTGTGGACCTAACTGTTCCTATTATGGTATGGGGCCGCGAGAACCTGTAGAAAGCATCTACGGCATCATTAACTGAGTCCCAAGGACTTTTAGAAGGTTGAGATTCAAGAGGGTGTTCAGATGATGCGTGCACCAAAAATCTCCCTTTAAGTTTTTTATCAGCAGCAATAGTGCTTAGATCACTTCCTCCAACATGCTCTTGCGTGATATACTGCCGCTGCAACTTCATTGAAGAGGAATAGTGCTTTTTTGGTCTCTTCCATGCTTTACATTTCAAAACCCGTACTATTGCATGTGAACCTATGATGTCAGAGGCATTTAAACATAATTCAGGTCATGAAGAAAATCAAATTTAAATCTCCAATTGGTACCACATATAAATTACAGCAATTTTATACTTTACAGATTATAGCTTCTTCAAATGGTAAGTAAAGAGTGTATACTGGAAATTTAATACACAAAAGCACATTGCAACATCTAAAAGCACAAGTCCTTTTTGCAGTATCATTTGAACAACCATTATCATCATTGCTTGGTCCTTTCAAAAAGGAAACACCATATATCAACATGTCAGCCAGAGCTTCTGCTCCTTCTCTCCACTACTTTGGTCATCCATAATCTCAAAGTCTGTAACACGATCTCTTGAATTTCAACCAGCACCAAAACATGATCAAGAAAGCAAACTTTTCTAGTACTCACTGCATATACCCAGCCAGAGGGAGCTGACAGATGAGCATTAAAATTGTTCTCGAAACAGGAACTAAGTCGGAAAATCTAAAATTTATAATGAAACGTAGCTAAGTTCAGCAGCAAGAAGTTTCACATTAGAAAAAGATTTAGCACACTATTTACTCGTGAAAATAGGCAAACAACAGAACAGGTTGGACTTCTAAAAGCAAAATGCCTGAACTCACACAGTGAAACATAAGAATAAAGAATATGGCGATTAACGTACCACCAGAAAAGAACATGTTTTGTGGATCATAAGGATTCACCAAGAAAACCAAACAGGATAGAACTGTTAACATTTACTGTGAAATTAAGAACTTCCGGGGATGTGACTCAAGCACATAGAAACCAAAAAGTTAGCTCATAAGGAGAGAATTGCCCAAAGACCATAAAAAGGAGACAACACATCCCTTTTTCATCCGATGTGAGACTCTTCAACAATAACCAAGAATATCTTAGAGTCAATGGTGCACGTCAGCAACTTGGAGATAATGGGTCCGCCGCTCTATGCTTTTGCCTTTTCCACTTAACTACCAGGGTTGTGTTTGCAGTAAGGTTCAAACCCATGATGATGAACGCCTAATCCACACATCATACTCTGCACTCTTACCACTAGAACAAACTCCAGGGGCTTGAACATTTATGTTGACATTACAAGAAAATCATACCATCCAAAGCTACAACACTAAAAAATTCCTGCCATTTTGAGAACCCACAAATAGCAGTTCCTTTCACAGAAATGACAACGGATACATAGATAAATCAATTATCTGTTGACCCAGGAAAAAGATTCAAGTTTTACACGCTTGGGGCAAAATACAGATCAATCCGACAAAATCATCAACAAACTAAAGGGTATAAGATTTTTGAACACCCAATGCAGAACTAGAACTTCAACTACTAGACTCCAGAACTTAGAAATGAACTCAACATTACCCAATGTGGAACTAGAACTTCAAGTACTAGACTCCAGAACTTAGAAATGAACTCAAGATTGAAGTAACTTTTCCAATTAACAAGCAAAATACACAAGAAAACTACATCATGCAAACTGAAATACTTAAAAAAAATCCCACGAATTCAAGAACACACATAGAAAAAGCAAAAATGTACAACTTCACATACTGGTTTTGAGTGGAGAAAACTCAGCAGGAACTGGAATTGATGGTCTATGAAAGGACCCAATAAGCAAAGATTCCATTTTTGATTTTTAAATCAGCACTGAACTCCACTCTACTTTGAACTACCTGAAATTAAGCTTCAGAACATGGGATACTGCTATTTCTCATTTCAATTTTTGGCATATTTTTAAAAGAATACACTAAAACCAAAATAGAAAATTTTTGTCGGGGTACATAATTAGGGCACATAAGTGCATTTTAACCACAACCCTAATTTTTCTTGACTTGTTTAAGGTGATGTTAACTTTAAATTATTTTTAGATAGTTTGATTAAAATGAAAAATGTGTATTTTGTATTTGAATTGTTTGAAGTGATTTTAAGTTAAACTATTCGAAATAGCTCACATATATCCTTGAACTATATTTCGGCGCAAATATACTCTTCCTCTCAAACTATAGGGTCAAAAATACTCTTCTCATTAACAGTATTTGTTAAAAGCCACTTGGATGTCATATGGATACCACATGTCATGCCACATAAGCCAATAGAGTTCCACTAATGTCACGTAAAAAATAAAATTACCACTAATTTCTCCCAATTTTCTTTATTTCCCTTAGTATTTAGAAACGATTTCACTGAAGAACATAGAACCCCTTTCCCTAACTAATGTATTTTGTGAAATCGTTCTAAGGAAATGGAGAAATAAGGAAAAGGAGTTCTATGTTCTTTGGTGAAATCGTTTATAAATTCTACGGAAAATGGAGAAAATTAGGGGAAATTGGGGGTAAGTTTATTAGTCTGCATGGCATGAGTGGAACTCTATTGGCTTATGTGACATGACATGTGACATTCACATGGGGCATCTAAGTGGCGTTTCGCCGATTCTGTTGATGAGAAGAGTATTTTTTATCCTACAGTTTGAGGGTAAGGGTATATTTGAGCTATTTCTGCTAGTTCAAGGGTATTTTTGACTCTTTTCCGTAAATAAATACATGTATTTTAGGTCTGATGCACTCAATCAACAAAGTAAATCACTCAACTAGCTAATAGTTTTTGTGCACTTGCGGCAAAACAACTTCATCTAATTCTTCAAAAATAACAACTTTTGTTAACTCGTAAGTCTACAATTCATCTTTTCCCTGTTAATTTGATTTGTGTTTCTTTGATTTTTGATACTCGTTTTTCCAACAATAACCAATATCACCATATTATTGAGTTATTTTGGATTGTGAATTACAGATACTATTTATAATGATTATAAAAATCCGTGGAATGCTCCTTAAGGATAATTCAACTTACCATGATCTTGTTAAAGGTATTCCTAAGCAAGTACAAATTGATTGTAGTCGCAATGTTATAGAGATCATATACACATAGAAGGCAATTCGACTCCAATGGAGATACAAGTGGGAATGAAATTGTTCATGAAATTAAAAGGACGTAAATCTGTTTTGAATTGCATCCATCATAATTGACGTGGACGATAAGGCATATTGTTAGTTCTCTAAATCGGTTGAATTAAATTTTATGTAAGTTATATGATAATTTATTGATATTTTATTTAAAAAAATATAATTTTTGACAATTTTAAATACACATATTAATTACATGTGTATTAAGCATCTATAGAATACATATAACAAAATGCTTAGACATATGAAATAATTGGAAATATAATGTATTATTGCATATTCAATTTTCCAGAAGTTCAATGGAGAAATTGTGGTGGATAGGCATTGAAAAAACCACACTAGATACATAAGATAATTAAAATCAAGATGTACTAAATCAAATAAAATTCATAAAAGTATTAGATGCATTGAAATTAGTAAGATACATATGAAAATCAAATTAAATACGAAATGAAATAATTTTATCAAATTACGAAGAGATGGCTTGGGAAAATTGATTAGAGAATTTTTTTTATTAATTACAACTAGATCATAAATTTTGATGTTTAAATAAAAAGATAATTAATTAATTCTACTTTTAAGGGATTTGTTTATCTAACTATATTTTCAAAAATATATGGCCTAAAATATTAAAATTGATACTATATGTAGTTGTTTGAAAGTTGATGCAATATTAATATACATGGTAGGATGTTGTCTATGTAGCTAGTTTTTCCAAATATTTATGTAGATGTTTTTATATATTTTTTAAAATGATTTTGTTATATATATATTTAATATAATTAATTATTCAATTTTTTACTAATTGTTTGTTATATAGTTTGTTAAATTAATTGAATTTATTTTACTCTATTAAAAATTGTTACATAAAAAGGGTTATATTATTTATTATTTTAAAATAGAACAAATTAACTATATTAGGAGTTTATTTTGTTAATATAATTTTAAATTCTTAATTATTGTAATTTCGAATAACTTTATGTAGTATCCAAATAATATATTACTCTCTTTATCGCAATTTATGTGTCATATATAGAATTACAAACCTTTACATATTTCAAGTAGTTTATTAATAAATTTTATAGTACTTTTTGTGTAATTTAAAAGAATATATGTTATTTTCTCTGTATGACTTGTAGACATTTAAAGTTGTTAACTATTATAATCCATAGTACTTTTTACGAAATTTTTAAATATAAAATATGCTAAAAGAGAAATAAAATAAACAAATTAAAATAGAGAAGGTACAAAATAAATGATCAATGATATGTAAATAAATCACAAAACTTTTTTAAGAAAAATGAAGTGGTTGGCATATTGAATTACAAAACTGTAAAAAAAAATGAAGTGGTTGATATAGTGTTTAGGTATGAGATAGCACATGTTTATGGATTAAACGAGATTCAAGTTGGGAAAATAGTTGAATTTATCAGCAATTTGAAACGAATAACCTTGAATTTTGAGGATGAAAGACAAAGAGTAAAATAAATTGCAAACAAATTGTTTTTCTTTACGTATCAATTAGAGCAGCCATGTTTAGCGGCTGAGATAGAAGCAACTAAAATAACAAAATTATCCAAATGATGATACAAATTTGTTAAGGTATAGTTGTGTGGTTATGCACACTTATATTAATACTAGAAATGGTTTATGAGTGGTTCTTGTTTAGTAATCTATTGTTTAAAGGTTTGACAGAAATGAAAAATGTGTTTAGTATGTTTATTTTTAAGCTTAAAATAAGTTTAAAATTATAAGCTATAAATGGTTTGTGAGTGGTCCTTGTTTAGTAGTCTATTGTTTACTATTTTACAAAGTTTTAAGTTATAAATACCTTTCTTTGTGCATTTAATGTTAGGGGTCTGCTAGTCTGGACCTATCAATATAGGCAGGTACACTTTGTTCTGGTGAATTCATATAAGTTTTGAAATTTTATGCATTAGATTGAGCTAACTTATTATTTTGATGGGCCAAAATTAGTCAACTCAATCTCCAGTTATGTGGATTTGAATCGCTCAGATCAATTTTTTTTTAAAAATAATATATTTTTATAATTTAAATTTAAGTTTATTAAAATGTTAACATGAACATCGACAATTCAATAATATATTATGCTATTATTTGTTAATTGTATCTCAAATAGACAAATGAAAATAATTTTAACAATCCTTATTAAGTTTGACTTCAAGTAAAAAATTGGTTGTATTAGTTCCATCTGAAATCATTGTCATTTTATGAAAATATCTTGGGTATAATTGTACAAAAATTACAATATATTCAGGACTAGTTTGGAAAGTCACTCTGGTAATTAGGTTTAGTGCAATTGGGTGTAATTACAATGTCTGATCTGTTTTGTTGGTCATGTAATTACTTTGGTTAAAATATAATTGGTGTGTAATTGGCACGTGGTTATTGCACATTTACACTCTTCAATTCACACACACACGAGACTGTGAATTGTTGGTAATTACATAATGTAAAGCTGATTTTTTTTTAAAAAAAATCTTTTATTTTTTTTATTTTAATTATTACTCTTCTAATTATTTTAAATTCTTTTTTATTTTTAATTATCTAATATTTTCTAAAAAAAATTTTATTTTATATTATTTATATTTTATTTATCATTATCAACTTTACTTCATGTGATTCCATGCAATTTTTCTTATATCTATTATTATTTTTCATTAGCATAATTTTGTTGGTATTCTAACTTTTTTTATTAAAATAGAATTCATTGTTGAACATGGTTATGGACTTACATTTTTCTTTTCTTTTAAGTTATATTTATGTATGTTATGTTGAAATTTGACACAAGAGTATTATTTATTTTAGAAGTATTGACTGAATATTTTACATTGCAAGCTATATTTTTTAGTTGGGCTTGATAGATTATCTGTTCAACAAATGTTTTTATAACTTTATGATGATATATCTATAATATTAATTTTTTTTGTCAAACATGCATCTTATGTTGTTTAAGAAATTTGTACTTTTAATTTTTATGATTGATTTAATTGAAATATACTAAAATTGAAGAATATAAATTAATTGTTTATATAATATTAGTTAAGAACATATGTTTATTAATTATTATATTTTCAAAAGAGAATATATATCATTTATAACGGCCCTTATTTGTCTAAAACGAAAAAATTATTTTTAAAATTCAATATAACCTTATGATTATACTCGTGCAGCCAAACAATACATTGTAATGATAACGTAATTATACTCTGACAAACAAACATGTCGATATAATTACTAGGTTGGTAATTACACCTATTTCAATTACCTGATGACTTTCAAAATAAGCCAACGGTGAAATACCATAAGTGCGGTTTAGGGGTTGGTAGAATGTATGCAACTTTACCAGTACGGATGACAATAAGGCAAGGGTGAATGCCGGAACGGGTTGAAGTAAATTTTTCTAAAACTAATGCTAAGGTAGAGAGATTGCGGGTTCAAACTTAATTTTAACTTTTTACATGTTATAAGAGTGATTGAGCACTCTACATGAGTAAGAATACACAAATCTCAAGATAAATTCATTATTTTTTTGATTCAAACTAATATTAATTGAAAATTCCTTTCATGTTATTAAAATATTCATGATAGTAAATAAAACCAATTCAATCAGAACCAATACATCTTCTTATATGCTTTCCATTTTACCTTTAAAAAATAACATTTAAGTCTTATCTATTATATCAATACAACTTGATGAGAAAATCAATTTATTTTAATGAATTTTATTTTTAGTATCAAAATTAACTAAAAGGACAAATATTGAAAAAAAATTATGAGACATATTCAAATTTATGTGGGTTAAG